CTCGAGGCCGGGCCTCTGAGGGTCTCCCACTTCTGTCCAGCACCTGTCGTGGGAGGGGCGGGACACGCCGTTTCGGGGCCTGGGTTCCCCCCTCCCTGGGTTTTTCTGAGTTGAATCGGAGGTGGAAGGAAGCGCGGTGTTTGTCCTCCCCAGTGGTCTGGATGAGGGGACCTCGCCCCCTGGTGGGAAGCGCCGCTCTTTGAAATCTGTTTTCCAAGTAAAGAAATGGTTCTTCTCTAGTGGTTTCCGTTGGGAGTCACTTGAGCTCTGTTGTTGCCTCACGGAGGCCCACCTTATGTGGAAAGCGGGGTGGGATGACGGAGGACGGAAGGCGGGGTGTGGGTGGGTGGGATTCAGGAGACGCGATGCGAGGGGCGGATGGTGAATGAGGAAGAAGCCGGGAGCAAGGACCGGTCATGGGGAAATATCTTATTTTACAGTGCCTAGGAAATATCCCTGGGTCATAAGTCTCAGGTGCGTGTGGGCAAGTATGGGACGGTGACTTGTACTGGAGGAAACCAAGTATTTCTGCAAGTCTTTGAGTTACATTTTCTAGAGCCACTGTTCTCAGCAGCCCTCACGCTTTAAACCACCTCCCGGTAGAGCACCCTAACAGTAAAATATATATGCGGGTGTAGTATCAGTAGTATGTGCTTCATGAGTGCAAAACCGGATAATGACAAGCGTAGTTCCAGCTGTAATTCTTCCTCCCATTGTCGCTTTTTTCAGTTTTTCATCTGAACAGGAGATGAATGTCTCTCTCTGTTAAGTAAAATCGCAGAATATCCGTTTGTTGTCCTTCACTTGGAAGTTTCATTGTTGGGCATGCTTGCTTGTCTTGTAGATGTGTGGTTGGTGACTTTATCTCCAGATGCTGAGGTGCCTGGGTCCCTGGCGCAGGCAGTTGCTGAGCTGCAGCTGGAGTAGACTGTTCCTTCTGAAGCACTCTCTGTTTACAATGAAGTTGCAGTCTCCAGAGTTCCAGTCACTTTTCACAGAAGGCTTGAAGAGTCTGACAGGTGAGAGATTAGGATGCCTCCTCTTGCTTTGGAAGCCTGTAAAAATGGAGAGGCAGAGGGTTAACGTTTTTTAGCCAGCATTCATGGTTTTTTGTTGTTAAGCTAATGAAAGCAGGGTTTACCTGCATGGGTAATCCAAAACTATAGCCAAATCATGAGAAGAAGTAAATAATGATTGCAGTTAAAAAGCATGGCTTTTGGGCTTCCCTGGTGGCGCAGTGGTTGAGAGTCTGCCTGCTGATGCACGGGACGCGGGTTCTTGCCCCAGTCCGGGAGGATCCCACATGCCGAAGAGCAGCTCGGCCTGTGAGCCATGGCCGCTGAGCTGCGCATCCGGAGCCTGTGCTCCGCAACGGGAGAGGCCACAGCAGTGAGAGGCCTGCGTACCGGGAAAAAAAAGAAAAAAAAAAGCATGGCTTTTTTGTGTGTTACCCCAGGTACTTTATATGCATCACAGAATTGGGCCTACTAACTTAAGGAGTAGGTGCTTTTTCTCGTTTTATGGTTGAAGAAACAGAGGCTTAGGAATGTGAAATGTTTTTCCAACGTTTTTGTAGCTAATAGGTGGAGAGCTGGATTTTGAACTTGTGCAGTCTTGGTTTGAGAACCCAGCTTGTAACCACTGAGCTATATTTCCACCCCAGGTATAAGTGCTTTGTGAAACAACTGAAGGTAGAAGGAAGTGGGAGTTATGTCCATTTGTGCACATGCAGAACTTATCTGGAACACAGGAAACAACTTGAGCTAAGCGCCGGATTACAGCAGCTTCATCTTGCTTCCCGCAGTCCTATCATTTCTTATGTTGGTTCTCGGTATCAGCTACTGCTGTTGCAGTGCACACAGGTGCATTTCAAAGCCTATGGTATCTTATTCACGCCTTCAGAAATATATTAAGGTGTATGGATGTAGAAACATGACCTTAACTGTTGGTTTGCCACCCTGGCTGTCCATTAGATTCACCTGGGGAGCTTTTTATAACATACAGGTGCTGGTGTCCCACTCCTGCCCTACTGAACTGGAATTGGAATCTCTAGGGAGCATGGGCATTTATACATTTTGATAAAAACTCTCCTCTCTCAATTCTCATGACCAGAAGGTGGAGGAACCATTGCTTTAAAATGACTTTCCTTGCATTAGCTTATTGACAAAGCTACTTTCCTGTTCTTGAAATAAGGTGATTGTTTTAGGTGTATGTCAGAGGTAAATGGTCCAGAACTTGTTGATTTTTATAGGTTCTTCACATAGTCTTGAAGTGGAGGGCCTAAAGCAGATGCTTTGCTGTGATTTTGTTTGTTCGTTTGTTTGTTTGTTTTTGCGGTACGCGGGCCTCTAACTGTTGTGGCCTCTCCCGTTCCCGAGCACAGGCTCCGGACGCGCAGGCTCAGCGGCCATGGCTCACGGGCCCAGCCGCTCCACGGCATGTGGGATCCTCCCGGACCGGGGCATGAACCCGTGTCCCCTGCATTGGCAGGCGGACTCTCAACCACTGCACCACCAGGGAAGCCCTGCTGTGATTTTTAATTAGAGTGAAAAATGCTAGAGACTCACTGTCCCATAGAAGTGAGTCACATATGCTACATAAACTTTTCTGGTAACCGCATTAAAAAACTAGAGAAATGGGTGAAATGAATTTTAATAACTATTTTTAGTACATCAATTTATTTAATTCAGTATATCTAAGATACCATCATTTTAATGTCAAATTTGTGTAAAAATTATGAGTGAGATAATTCCTTCTCTTGCTTGTAAATCTTTGAAATCTGGTCCTTAGCACGTACAGACCGTCTTACTTCAGACTCGCCGCATTTCATAGTGCTCAAGAACCATGTGTGGCCACTGTATGGCTCATGTCTAGAAGCTTCAACTTTGAGTTGAATTCTAGCTTGTTCTTTCTTTACATGCCTTTCCCAGCTCCCACTCTTCCCTGTCTTCCATTGTAAGGGCAAAATGATTGGATGTAGGGAATTAACTCTTGGGGGCCTATCTCAGATCCTTCTGCACTTTTCTCTTGGAAACAAAGCTGTGGATATTGATTACTGTAGGTCCTTGAACATTTTTTATTTTAACAGTTGCATTTGGCTTACTAACCCTGACTTCAAGAGCTGAGTTTTCTCCACCTTGAGTGGTGAAGTCCTGAGGAAGTTAGAGACGGAATAGTATGGAAGAGTGGTAGTATTTGCCCAGTGGTCTGGTCCTTGAAAGACTGACAAATGGGAGCATGGGTATCTTCTAAGATTGCGTTTTTCTAGGTTATAGTGGAACTGGTAAGAATGGAATCTTTTAGTGCAGTGCCCAGTGGTTAGAAACTCACCTAATTAGTTTTATTTGATCTTTGCTACTTTCTAAAGACTTGAGTATCCTGGTAAAATATAATGTTCTGTGTGAAAACAATGCACAAAAACACACAAAGGAAGAAAAAGATGGCTGTGATGCTGTGCAGTTTCATACTGTACCAGTTTTTAAATCATTATAGCTGTTTTGCCAAATGTAAAATTAGTTCCCAGCGTGCAAGAATTTGGGAGGTTAGGAAAGTGTATTGTGCTCATACAGCGTTTTATAATGTCAGTTTATGTCATGTAATTTGTGTTTCCTTTTGCTTAAGGACAGCCATATAATACCAGTGGTATATAAAATTATTTCTTCATTGTATACATGAGACTGAAGTTCCAAACCTAGTGCTTTTTGCATAAGTTACACGGTTAGTGGACAAGCCAGGGTTGCTGGGAGATAGTGCTCCATAGTTAGCTATCCGCTGCTGCTTAGGTATGTGATGTCACCAAGTCGTATTAACATTTGGGACAATTGGAATGGCTGATCACTCTTGAAGTTTGGGAGTTCCTAGAAATGCTAAGGAACAGATAGCTTGTTTTCTGGTAGTAACAGTCGTGCTGTGTAGTGGTCTTTTTACTGACACTTCCCACCCGCTGTCCATCCCTACGACCTCCAATACTCAAAACTCAAAGCTGTAAAGTGAAGCAGTTAATGAAAATTTGACTGAAAATTAAAATAAAATTTCGAAGAAGACAGTTACACGTTTTCTGACAAATTAATGTCTCGGTGTTTTGGTTGCTCTTCAGACTGATTAATAATAGCTTGCTATCAGATGTGGCAGCTGACACAAATTAAGACCATTTGGAATGATGAGATCCTGCATTTCATGAGTCTTAAGCTTGAATTTACAGTTAAATTTAGTTGTATGAGGTGTTATGTTCACTTGAGTATGTATGTAGTTTACAAAGTTTGTTGGAATGTGGAATGTGTCCTTGTTTCTGAAAGATTGAAGATGTCAGTAACTGAGGGGAAAAAGGAGCCTCTAGCTGGGTAAGCCTTACTGTTTTGGGTCAATAATAAAATCATGCCTTTCTTGCAGTTTCTATGACTGCTCTTTCACACAGGCACGTACATATGCCTTTATGTGCCATTCTCATTTATATCAAAATGTTAGGATTGTGAGAATTTTTGGACATTTCCATAGGGCTAATCAAAATGATGAATAGATTACTTCGAGTTCTGGAACATTTTTTCTTGTAATGTAGTTAATACACTGGGTGACTTTGAACTTACAATTTTATTTTAGTAGGTGCAGCTTGAGAATCTCAAAACAGTGGTTATCTTGGTGTTCAGCCTTGACCTTCATCCTCTTAAAGTAGGTTCAAATGAAAGTAAAACTTGCCCATTTTTTGCATTCCAGCAGTTTCTTATGTACTCTCAAGTTGAAGGAAGAAAAGCTTTTTAAAAAGTACACTTTTCAGTGAGGCGATCCCTCTTTTTTTTCTTTTCTTTCTTTTTCTTAAGCTTGTATATCCCAGTTCAGTTCCATCGTGAGCCAGTTTGGTATAAAGTTGAGTGAGATAGGTTTGCTACTCTGAGAAGTGGTGAGACAAAGACATAAACAGGTAATTTTAATGTAATTAAAGGTAGGCTGCTCTCCTAGCTTAGGTGGAATTCACTTTACTCCACCACGAGGAGAGACTTCCTAAACTGAATCGCAGGAGTTGAGTAAGGGTGACCTGGGTCAGTGTGTGTTCCTCACTGTGTGACCGGTTAGTGGGTCATAAAGTCAACTTAGTGGTCATGACCAGCATTAAAAAATAGAGGAAAAGACATAAAGAATAGAATAGATTAGATTGCATGGTATGTATAGTAAGGGTAAGTACTATTTCATGAAACTCTTGTTTACCTTACCTCTCTAAGTCTCAGGAAAACTTTGGACTAACAGATGATTTTTATATTTTAATTTAAGGGGCCATGGACCTCATTTTAAGGACTCATGGGGACTGGAATGGAAATGTGGAGTTAAAGGAGTTTGCACACTTCTTCTGGGAGGGGGCTCACGGAAGTGGTAACCCTGTGGGAGAGCCTTTAGTTAAGGCAAGAAGGTAGAGGGAGGGAACCATTGTTATTTTTTAGCAGATCATTTTAGGGAGTCTGCAGAGGTCTGTGGCTGGAAGGCCTGGGAAGAACAGGCAGAGGAGGAGGATGACAGAGAGCACAGAAACTGGCGTGGGGACGGAGGATGACGTTTTGAACTGTGATTAGTGTTGCTAGAGCTCTGATGCCTTTAGCCGAACGTGCGGGTCAGCGCCCTCCTGCCAAAGACCAGCAGGAGCACCCCTCGCCGAGATGGGGAGCCCTGACCATGGGGAACCTTGGGGCACCTTGGGGCCTCTGAGTAACAGGGGTATAGAAAGGATGTCTTGTAGGATTTGAGCTTGAATCACGTGTCTTTGGGGCAAGTTGAAGAAGCGGGGCTTTGCTGTGCATCAGGTGGTGTCAGGAAGCAGGGGTTAACCTGTGATTGTCTTAATGATTCTTACCTGGAAGGTGGGAAGCCTACACAGTGTGAGGCTAACGCTGACTGGGAACTAAGAGTATCACACGTATGAACTGTTACAGGGTGCTGTCTGGACAGTGTTTGTGTCTCATCTGTTCAGACATGATGACAAGTTGTCTTGATCCTGGTCACAGGATGGCCTTGTCTGCTGTAGATGTTCTCTGCCACGGTTATGTTCACAGGAGGCCACCTGGGCCTCATTGTGCGTGTCCAGCTCATAGCAACACCAAGGCTTGGGCGGTGGTGTCAGGCCGGGTCCTGGACATCATGCTCACTGGGTCCCTGTGGTGTCCCTTAGTCACATGGGTGGTTGTGGTGGACTCGGCCTTGTCCTCTGCCTGCTTTGGGCGTCGTGGACTCAGGTCCTCATGGTGGCCCCAGTGTCATATGGCTTCTCCATAGAAGAGCTCTGAGCTGGTTTCAGACATCAGATGTCGATTATTTCTTGAAGGGTTCTTAGCTATAACGTTTATCGTGTGTGGTGTGGTAGACTAATGTTTGATGGCTTCCTGCATGAATATGTTGCCTCAGCACAACACACAGAGAGAAATATGTGCAAGAACACTTCACATTTCTAAAGTATGCACATACACCCAGAGGGAGAGAGAGAGCGGAATTATTCACCTCACTTTCTAGTAGTAATTCAAATTTACATTGATGACCTTGAAGCACTGTGGAATTCTAAATTATCTTCCGAAGTAACCTAAAAGAAATTGTGCACGTTCCCTGCTTCTTATGTTTGTTAGAGGCATTCCGCTGTAGGCAGGTCACTTCATTGCTGTGGGCCTTGTTCTCCCAATTTTTATGTAAAAAGGCTGAGTTCAGTAATCTCTGCTGTCCCAAGTAGATGGGAAGACTTGTACTTCTGCGCTTAAAAGAAACACACTGAAACAGAAAATGTTCTTTTTCACCTCAGAATTATTTGTCAAGGAAAATCATGAATTAAGAATAGCAGGAGGAGCAGTGAGGGATTTATTAAGTGGAGTAAAGCCGCAGGATGTGGATTTTGCTACCACTGCTACCCCTGCTCAAATGAAGGAGCTGTTTCAGTCGGTCGGCATTCGTATGATCAACAACAAAGGAGAAAAGCACGGGACGATCACTGCCAGGGTGAGTGAAAAATTTGACAGGAACTGCATTGCCTTTTTTGGTAAGTTAAAGAATTATGCAAGAGGGAAGAGATATGGGAACATACGTATATGTATAACTGATTCACTTTGTTATAAAGCAGAAACTAATACACCATTGTAAAGCAATTATACCCCAATAAAGATGTTAAAAAAAATTATTATAGATCATTTCTAGTTTTTAAAAAGCGAATAACAAAAAGCCTAGTTTAACCAAAGAAAGGCAGTCTCCTCTACCCTCTATTAAATCCTGCATCCTCCTTTGCTGAAGGCCCTTTTATTTTTATAGTAGTTACTTTTTCCCTCCACATTTCTAAAAAAGACCTTTCTACGCTCCAGTGTTTCATTTTCGTTTTTTTTTTTTTTTTTTTTTTTTTTTTTTTTTTTTTTTGTGGTATGCGTGCCTCTCACTGCTGTGGCCTCTCCCGTTGCGGAGCACAGGCTCCGGACGCGCAGGCTCAGCGGCCATGGCTCACGGGCCCAGCCGCTCCGCGGCATGTGGGATCTTCCCGGACTGGGGCACGATCCTGTGTCCCCCGCATCGGCAGGCGGACTCTCAACCACTGCGCCACCAGGGAAGCCCCGTTTTCATTTTTAATTTCCAGTCTCAAGATGTTGCTTGTTGACTTCCTGCAGGGAAGGTGATTGAGCCGCCTTATCACACCCTCCTCAACAGCAAGCACACACGATGCTCCTTCCCTCATTTTCTCAGTACATATATGCCATAATTTTTGGTTAAATCAGTTCATAACTGTTGTTTATGGCTAGATCGTGCAGTGTGTTTCGACTGCATTCCTCGTGTTTCGTGCTTTGGGTTTTCCCTGCAGTTAACAGCGTAGCTTTGTGACACAGCTCTCGTGTGCTGCTCATTCATTCATCCTGTGCTGTGCAGTTCCTCCTGGTGGTTTTCACCACGTCAAGTTTCAGTTCCTTTTTCTGGAGCCAGCTCACCGGCTGCAGTCTGTCTTCTCCCATCTGTGCATCCTAGGCCAGCTCCCCACTCATGTCCTGGGATTTCCCTGCACCAGATCTTGGGAGCTTCCTTGGCCTCTTACTTACCAGACCTCCTGGTTCCTGATCCCGTGGTAGTCTTTCCTGTATTATGCCCTCATTTTGGTAACCTGAGAGAGCTTTCCATGTGTGAAATGTTTTTATTTTACCTTCACACTGATCTGATAGTTTGGTTGGCTGTGGAATTCAAGGCTGGGAATTATTTTCAGGCAGAAATGTAAAAAAGGCTTTGTTTTTCTACCTTCCAGTGCTGCCACTGAGAAGTCTGAGCTCATTCGGATGTCTCCTTTGTTTGAGACCTGATTATTATTATTTTTTTCCCCTCTTGGAAGCCTTTCTGATCTCTTTATCTCTGGTGTTTTTAATTTCAAGCTGACGTGCCTTGGCTCGGATTTATTTTTTCATTCATTGTGTAGGGCACTTAGGGCCCCCTTGTGTTCACCTCATGATGTCATCCCCTTTGTTAAATGTCTTTCCCTTTGGAAAATTCCGTGATGTTGGATGTTGGACCATGGGGGCTCATCTCCTAGTTTTATCTTTTGTCTCTTATTTTATATTCTCATTTGTTTTATTTTACTTTGAGTATTGCCTTAACTTGATCATCCAGTTTTCCTATTGGCAACTTTTACTGTCTTCTAAATTTTCAAGAGGTCCTTCTTACAGTATTTTTGAAAGCTTCCTGTTCTTGTTTCAGATGCAGTATCTTCTCTTATTTCCCTTAGGGCATCAATTTTAGGTACTTCGACAATGTCTTTATTTCCTCTGAGCTTGTTCTGTCTTTGCTGTTGGCTTTCCTTCCGTGTGGGTATTTTTCGGTCTCTATGTTTGGGTGATCTACTGTGTGCATAATGACCTGAGCACTTTACTGTAGTTCTGTGTGGGAATCGTCAGCCAGTTAGTTATGGGACTACCACTGTCAGTATCAGGAGGACTTTTCATTAGGAGACGTCAGAGGAATCCTCCAGTGCTACCCAGGTTAGAATAAGCCTGCTTGTTAGCATTTTGAAAACCAAGTGGGGAAGGGGATAGGGCTTATGTTGGTTTTTCTTCATGTTATTTTCATTGTGGTGCATCACTCCCATGGTCACGTGTCTGGTGCCCCACGTGTCTGATTATTTTGGAGTCAGCCTTTCTGGTTAATCTCTGTTTCTCTGCTTGGGTCAGGGAGTCACTCTGGAGGTCTAATTTTTTCTTACACGGATTTTCAACAGTCTTCGTATTTCATACCCTTTGCTTTGGGATAACTTGTGCCTCAAATTCCTGATTCTGGAATTCTGTAGTGAGAACTAGTTTGTTTGTAGAGAAGAATATGCATGAGGTTGAGAGGAATTCTAGAACAGACTTTTACTGATCATTAATGCCTTTCAGTTCCGAATGAAGACATTCCAAACTCCTGCTTGGCACGTAGCGCCCTTTGCTGTCTTCCCCTACATACCGATACGCTGTTTGTGCAGAGTGTGCTTTCTCTTACACGTATCCCTCTTCCTCTCCATTGTGCTTTTGGTCATCCCACCTGCATGTACATATCCTACTTATTTTTCAAGGCTAAGACCACATGTCCCTCTAACGTGAGGCTACCCACCTTTTCCCAGCTGGAGGTAATCTCTCTTCCTGAGATATATGTGGCACTGTATTTCAACCTCATTGATGATTACCAGTAAAGGAGCTGCAGGATGCGGTACCTGTATTTCTTCCTCTGTCAGTCCTTCGCTCAGTGGTATATATTCTGTAAATTGATATTCAGCTCTTTGCAAACTGGAGCTGTTAAAAAATATTTCCAAGAGTAGCCTGGTTTGAAATTGGAAGAACCAGAATATACTGTTTTTAAGGGCTCTTCCCTTCTGCCACATGATTTGTCAGACGTGCCATTTTTATATGTCAGACTCATCTTTTTTAATTAAGATGGGTTTATTATTTCTTAAAAATATTCTTTGGATCTATCTTTGAATACTCTGGGTGTCTTCCTGTCTCAAGGTATATGTGCACTAGTTGACTGTAAAAAGAAGGAAGATACCTGTTAGGACTAACATGTTATTTTCAATTCATCCAGTGATACTAAAAACGAATTTTAAAAAAACATATATTTACTTCCAGCTTCATGAAGAAAATTTTGAAATTACTACACTACGGATTGACGTTACCACTGATGGAAGACATGCTGAGGTCGAATTCACAACTGACTGGCAGAAAGATGCTGAACGCAGAGATCTCACTATAAATTCTATGTTTTTAGGTAATATATGTAGATAATGTTTTAATTCAGTCCAAACGCCTTCTTTTTGAGTGAAACCTGCATCCTGGAAATGTTCCCCAGCGTGAGGGGTTGCATTAGTTTCTTCTAAGAGACAGCCTATTGGTTAAAGACGACCGTGGAGCCGAGATCTCTGGGTTCCTCGGACTCCATCATTCTCTCGCTGTAAAATGAGGAAGGTGATATTAGCTTCCTTTGCTGGGTTGTTGTGAGGATTAAAGGAGTTGGCCATGGCGAATCCCTGGCACAGTGCCTGGCACCTTATTAATCGCATCTAAAAATGTTAGGTTTCGGGCCAGAAACGTGCACACAGACACACACACGCTGTGCTCCTTTTCCTCTGTCTTTCCTGTGCGCACATTCCACCCCTTCCTCTGCTGGTGCCGGTGGTGCACTTGGTCAGTGACTTCAGCTCTTCCGTTGCCTGTTGCTCCGTGTGCCGAGCACCACTTCACAGTCTTCTGTAGCACCGCGTTGCAGGAACTGTCTGTACTCCGTCCGAGTTGGCGTGTGAGAGGGAACCTGTGTATCATCTTAGCTTAACTTGTTCATGAAAGGAGTGAGAATCATAATGGGAGTAGATGTGAATTAGGTTAGTGTTTTGGTGAACAACTGAAGCATTATTTTTTGTCCTTTAAATTTCAGACAAGCTCTTTAGGTTTAAATCTCTGGATTAGAAAAGAGAGACGGAGCATCCACTCTTCGTAACCTACTTTGGGGCACGGTAACTGTGAAAGGATGAAGCAGTGGGTTCCACTTCGTGGGATGGGGAAGGGGGCTGTAGGCCCAGATGGGATCTCTTGCTAATTACATTAATGCCAAATAACATTTCTAGAGCACCTACTCGGTTCGAGGCGCATCAGTGCTCACTTGATATACTTTAGCTCATTTAATTCTCAGAAAAGTTCCACAAAGTGGGTAGTAAACTCATTCGACAGATGAGGAAACAGACTCAGAGATGTTAAGTACTTGAGCTCAAGTCATGGAGAGCCTTGATTGGTTTCCGAAGCCTGGGTGATTTATGACCAAAGGCAGCCCAGCTGGAGGCATGTTTTCTCTCCATTAGGGGGTGCAACTCCAGGTGTTAATTTCTTCTTACATCATTTTTATTTAAACTGCTCCAACTAGTGCAGTGTATGAAAAATCTTACAACTAGCTTCTCATATGCAGGCAGGACTAAAAGAGAGAAACTAATAGCCTTTTTCAAGATACTATTTTATAAAAATAAAAACTGTTCTTATTGGTACTACTGTTTTCTAACATTTGCTGAACCCTCATAATGTGCCAGCCACTGTTCTAAGCCCATCACATAAATGTAATCTTCCCACCAACCCTATGAGTAGTTCCTGGTATTTAACTCACGATAATTTGCTCAAAGTCCTGCAGCTGGTTAATTGGAGAATTAGGATTCCAGTGTAAGCAGCCTGGCTCCAGAGGTCACATCCTTAACCACCACATTGTGCTCAGCAACACAGCTTTATTTCTCATTTTTATTCATCATTTGTTTTAAAGGGTATTCAGAGCAAAACAAAGTACACACTGATATATACTCAGTAATCCTTACCTTTAGCCCATTTTCCCATCCAGACTTCTTTCAAGCCTTATCAGATAAAGCATTCCTGGTCCTGGGGGTGAGGGTTACTTTACTTTTCAAACCCTTATTTTCCGTTTTGTCACACTATGGTTTTTTCCTCCAAATCTGATCTTCCCTTTACTGAAAAAGATATTATTATTTCCACATTCCCCAGGGAGTTAAGAGTTTCTTCATTAAGAGAAGTAACGTGAAGAGACAGATATATACCACATTTATGTTCTACTTTGTAATCGTTATCTTTGTCTCTTTACGTAGTTTTTTGTTTGTTTTCATCTCCTGCTGTATCTTTCTGAATCTGGAGCTTTATAAATTGGCTCTAAGTGTCAAAATGCCACATCAACCAAAAGAGCTTGGCGCGTATTAAGCCTGAGTTTACCATTGTCGTTGCATTTGGGATAATCAAAGAGCATTCAGGTTCAAGAGAATTAAAATGACTAGTAGTTATTTTTTGTAGTAGTGGCAGTGCTTCCTTTCTGTGATGCCACGAGGTGAAGTCTCTCTTAGGCTCATAGAGCTCCCCGTTTGGGTGGTTGAATGGTACCTGTGTCTTTGCTCGAAGTGTTTCTCTTTTTCCTCCTTAGTTGTCAGGGTGACCATCTGTCTCAGTTTGCCCGGGACTGAACTAATTCCTGAGACCTGCGATTTTCAGTTTTAAAATCAGCAAAGTCCTGGGATAACTGGGATGAATTGATCACTTTATTCATACCTGAGGTTTTATGCACTTTATATTAAAATTGTTAGGTTTTTTTCATTTTGTTCAACATGTGAGAGCATATTGTGGTAGAAATTGGTTTACAACATTTTGAACAGATACTAGGTTCACATGGTTCAAAATTCGCAAAGTTTAAAAGGCTGCATGGTGAAGTGTCACCATCAGATTTACTGTCCCCTTGCTGACAGTGTAATAAGACTTGGGTCCTTGCCGAGCTGATACAAAGCTGAAAAATGGTATCTCATAAACTTGCATTTCTTATAACTAAGGTTGAAAATCTTCATTTTTAAAGAAGCTTTTTATACTTCCTGTATATATTTTTAGCTCGTTTTTCCATTTATGTGGTCTTTTTCTATTTAAGAGCTTTCTGTAGATTATCGAAATTAGCCATTTATCTGTATGATACAGAATGAAATGTGTTTTTCCCAGTATGTCATCTGTCTGATGCTTTGCATTGTGATGTTTTTTTTGCTATGCAGGCATATCTGATGTTTTATGTAGTTGGATTTATTAATTTCTTTGAAGGCTCTGGTGGTGTGTTTTGTTGTTTCTTCTTGGTAATTATATTTTACCAATAGGGACGACGAAAGGTCGTCCCTGTTTCAGGATTATAAAATTTTTTCCTATGGTTTATTATTTATTACTTTTAGTACTTAGTTTCTCCAGAGAGTTTTTACTACTATGTATTTTTTCCGGATCATTCTGGCAGTTCTTGTTTATTTTCCATTATTCACTTGAAAGTCAGCTTGTTTGATGTTGTCTCAGCCCACTTCATACTGGCATAGGTCTTTAGTTTATTGAGTGTATTTAATTGCTGGTGTAAATGCAGCCTTTTATTCCATTATATCTTCCATTTGATACTGGATATAGATGAATGCCATTCATGTCTGTATTTCAACCTTGTAAGTCTTCACCTTGCTTAGTTTTTACTGTTTGTGATAGTTTTTAGCTAATTTCCTTAAGTTTTCCAATTTTTTTCTCAGTTCCTTTTAAATTTTTGAATTGAGGTAGTAATTGAAATACAACGTTAGTTTAAGTATACAGTATGATTTGCTACTTGTATATATTAAGAAATGATCACCAGAAAAAGTCTAGTTAACACCTGACACCATACATACAGAATTTTATTCCCCTTATGATGAGAACGTTTAAGGTCTGCTATCTTATATGGAATACAGTATTGTTACCTATAATCACCATGCTGTGCATTACCTCCTCAGAACTTATTTACTTTATAGCTAGGAGTTTGTACCTCTTGACTCTCTTCACCCACTGCACCGGCCCCTGGCCTCAGCCTCTGGCAACTGCCAGTCAGTTCTCTATCTGTGAGCTTGTTTTTTTGAGATTCTATATAAAAAGGAGGTCATACGGTATTTGTCTTTCTCTGTCTGGTTTATTTCACTTAGCATAATGCCCTCGAGATCCATCCATGTTTTCACAAATGGCAAGATTTCATTCTTTTTTATGGCTGAGCAATATTCCATTGTATATGTGCCATTGTTTTCCAGTTATTTGTCAAGAGTGATTTTTCTTCCCTCTTTTCTAATGAATAGGTTTCGACGGTACTTTATTTGACTATTTTAATGGTTATGAAGATTTAAAAAATAAGAAAGTTAGATTTGTTGGACAAGCTAAACAGAGGATACAAGAAGATTATCTTCGAATTTTAAGATATTTCAGGTAAGGATTTTTATAAATTACATTAATGATACAGTTTTGAATATTATTACCAGAGCACAATTCTGATCATGTGAAATGCACAGCAGGTTACTGTACACAATGGTGACATCCCAAATGCCTGTCTCCAAGAGACAGGATACTGTGACTCATGAGATGATACTTAGATACTTCATCTTTTCATTGTGCAAAACAGTTATTTGCTCCTTTCTGTGATGATCTTTTAAATAATTCAGCTTTTAAAAGGTCTTTTTTCTTTTTGATTATTTTCTGCACCAATCATTCATTACACAGATATGAGGGCTTATCACAAGCCAACCCCTGTGCTAGGTGCTTTGAACAGAGGAGTGAGTCAAAGTATGCCTTCATATGGCTTACTGTTTTAGGTGGTCATGGGAAATCTGTCCGAAGAATTGGGAAGGTATGGAATGCATTTGGATGGTCTTGTGGGTAGCAATGCTTTTTCAACTCTGAACTCTAACATTTAAGAGAACTACTGTAACTGGCTAATTTATGTCTACTGATATTTATTTTTCACTGGTTGGGATCACTCTCAGAATATTCTTTGACTGAGTCTACATATTTTGTCAATAAATGCTATCCCTTTAGACTTCAGTGTGTGCCAACCGTCTCTCTTTACAAATAATAGGACAGAGACTGAGGCACAGCCATAGCCATTTAGTCATTTAATTTAGATCACTAATGAACTGAATTTTGAAGATATGAGTGGTAAAAACAGGTATACTTTAATGCTTCCAGTTCTGAGAGTCCATGAAATACACTCCCTTGTCTACAGCGAGATTTGTTTTATTTGAAGCTCTTAATTAAAAGTATTGCTGTGTACAGACAGGCAACCTTTGAGGGATTAAGACTCCTCCAGCATGGCATTTTAAGTCTTGTTTTAGTGCCTGGAGAAGACTGCTCTGGTTTATGCATCCAGTGTCAGTATCAACTCAGAGACCTCTTTTGATGGCCATTCTAGCGTTTCAGTCAGTGATGTGAAAGTGCAGTGAGGACGGGGTCTGGTTCTTGCTGACTTTAAGAAGGTTACTTATACTTTATTGGATCTCAGGTTTTCTCATGTGAGAAGAGAGAGAAGGTGAACTGACCAAGGTGGTTGTTAAGGTCCCTCGTAGACCTAACTAGTTCTCTGTTGTTTCTGATTAAATAGGTGTCTGCAATAGTACTGGTAAGATGACAAGCCGATTTTTCTGGTGAAACACCAGCATAGAGGTAGTACACTCTGAGACTTTTGCTTTGTAGGTTTTATGGGAAAATTGTAGATACACCTGGTGACCACGATCCTGAGACTTTGGAAGCAATTGCAGAAAATGCAAAAGGCTTGGCTGGAATATCAGGAGAGAGGATTTGGGTGGAACTAAAAAAAATTCTTACTAGTAACCACGTAAATCATTTGATTCACCTCATCTATGATCTTGATGTGGCTCCTTACATAGGTGAGTCTAACTTAAAAAATGTTTGCCTTTTTGGCCATGAAACACATCTGGTTTAAAAATTTCGTAAAAAAAAAATGTTTAACAATTCTAAAAGGAAATATTTCAAAAGATGGTAAACTTTGAGGTCAGGAGTAGGACAGTTTTTTCACAGGTAGGGGACAGCTCAGAGACAGCACATTGTGGTGGAACAAAGTGGCCTCTGGAGTCAGTCCATCCTGGGTTTCAGTGAGGCTTTGCCACTTATCAGCTTTGTGACTTGCCTTATTTCCTTATGTGTTAGTTTCTGAATCTAACAGAGGGGTATGAAAGTGATAGCATCTGTCTAATAGAAGGGCTGAGAGCTTCCAGGAGCTTTAATACATGTACAGCACGGAGAAGACCTGCCTTATACATGGAAATAGTTCAGTAGGTTTAAAATTAATATTCAGAAGCAACAGCGGGATTTTGCGACGTGGGAGAGGGCAGCCACAGTGTACCGGTGGTTCATCTGTAAGATGGAGCAGCACACTGGACCCATAATGAGCCCTGGGGCCAGGGCATTTCTGCAAACGGAAACAGTGTTTGCCTTAAGATACGGATTTATTAAATTTATCCTTTCTAAAAATGGGTTAAAAATGCTTTTGTCCCTACAGGCTTACCTGCTAGTGCAAGTTTAGAAGAATTTAACAAAGTCAGTAAAAATGTTGAAGGTTTTTCCCCAAAGCCAATGACTCTCTTGACCTCACTGTTCAAAGTACAGGATGATGTCACAAAATTGGATCTGAGGTTGAAGATTTCAAAAGAAGAGAAGAATCTTGGTTTATTTATAGTTAAAAACAGGAAAGATTTAATTAAAGCAACAGATAGTTCAGAACCTTTGAAACCCTATCAAGACTTCATTATAGATGTAAGTATATTCTGGGCTTGGTCAGAATATAAATCATCTTTGCTAATTGTGGAACACATTTATTAATACTAAGACCCACAAAGTATTATGTGAACTTCTTTTATTTTAAATGAAAACTTTCACATTGAGCATTTATTTAAATTTTAGGATAAGATCATTAGCAAGTGTGGTAATGTTTGACTTTGGCCCTTAGTCTAGAGACTCCGATGCAACTGCTCGTGTGTGTGAACTCCTCAAGTACCAAGGAGAGCACAGTCTTCTGAAGGAGATGCAGCAGTGGTCCATTCCTCCATTTCCTGTAAGTGGCCACGACATCAGAAAAGTGGGCATTTCTTCCGGAAAAGAAATTGGGGTTCTCTTACAGCAGTTGAGAGAACAGTGGAAGAAAAGTGGTTACCAAATGGAAAAAGATGAACTGCTAAGTTACATAAAGAAGACCTAAATTTGATGAGAGCTGGCTACTAAAAAAGCAGAAACGTTTTGGTAAGACTAGTTTTTTCCCGTCCCCCCCTTAGTGAGATTGAAGAGACTGGAATAAAAGCCAGCTTAGAGGATCTCTTCAGAAGAGAAAAGGTCTTATTTTGTGAAACATAATTGTATTTCAGGCATTAAAGGAAAGTCTACCTCCTCTTAATCTGATTTATATCACTGAACCTTGTAATTCTTTTGGAATAGTTCCTACTGAGGAAAAAAGAGTTGGCTTCGCTTAATCTGTCTTAAGTTTTTTTAAAAAAGCGGGTTTTTTGGTTTGTTTTTGCATAGGGCAGTACTAAGATTAATCCTAACACGTGATAACTGTCTTGAAAAAGATGTTTCTTAGTATTTGCAATTGAAATATACCTGGTTTAATTTTCTACAACGATTGTGTATGATAAGTGTTGGTTTTTATCTGAATTCCAGAATAAACTTGTGCTTGAAAATAGCTGACAAATTTGTATAAAGTATCGTATATAAAATGTGAAGATCAGATGTGTCCCAGGTGGCCATCATTCATTCCCTACACTCAGGACTTGTTCT